ATTTTTTTTTTTTTTTTTTTTTTTTTTTTTTTTTCTTTTTTTTTTTATAGGAATTACCTGCAGATGTAGACTATCGTGTATTAGAGACATATAGTTTATTTTATTGTTCTTTTCTTCGTCATTTATTATATAAATTATATAAATTAGAGGATATACAATATCCACCAATAAGACCAAACAAAGCAAGAAAAAATGTTAAGGCTTCTCCTTATCTAGAGACACACCAACTGCAGCAGCACGTAAGCTGCTTCCATCTCCTTAAGGCTACTAAGGCACGTCCTGCTGCTTCTCCTGCTGCTGCTGCTGCTCCTCCTCCTCCTGCTGCTCCTGCTGCTAATGATGGTAAAGAGGGAGAGGAGGGGGATGCTGCTGCAGCAGATGCAGCAAAAATAAGCAAGAAAAAGAGGCATGAAAAAGAAATAGATACAGATACACAGGAAGCTACTAGTGCTGGCAGCAGAAGCAGCAGCAGCGAAGAGGAGGAAGAAGAAGATGTAGAGGAGGAGGAGGAGGAGGAGGAGACAGAGGAAGAAGAAGATGACGAAGAAGAAGGAGAAGAGGAGGAAGAGACAGACGAAGAAGAAGAGGAAGAGGAAGAGGAAGAGACAGAAGAAGAAGAAGAGGAGGAGGAGACAAAAGGAGGACGTAAGGGGAAAGCATCTGCTGCTGCAAAGAGTCAAAAGGGCAAGAAAAAGGAGGAGGAGGAGCAGCAGCAAAAGAAGAAGAAGAAGGGAGGTGCAGCAGCAGCAGAAGAAGCAGAAGCAGAAGCAGATAGCGAAGAGGAGGAGGAAGAAGACGATGAAGAAGAGACAGATGAGGAGGAGACAGATGAGGAGGAGACAGAAGAACAAAAGGAGACAGAAGACGGCGACAATAATAATGCTCAGGTAGGATACAAACAATTTCCTTTTGCTGCTACGTTGCTGCTGCTGCTGCTGCTGACTATGCTGCATTGCCTGCTGCTTCTGCTGCTGCTGCTGCTGCTGCTGCTCAGGAGACTGCTGTAGAAATCAAGGGCTGCGGCGTGTCGGAGCACCCGGCACAACGCCTCTTCGAGGGTCTTGTCTTCTTCCTATGCAGGTCTGCTGCTGCTGCTGCTGCTGCTGCTATACCTCCTGCTGCTGCTGCTGCTGCCGCTATAGCTGCTGCTGCTGGTGTACTTGCTGCTGCTATACTTGCTGATTCTGCTCTGCTTGCTGCTGGTGTACTTGCTGCTGCTCTGGGATGCATGGGGTTCACATAGCATGCGGACTGCCGAACCAGCTACTGCAACTGCTGTTGCAACTGCTGCTGCTGCTGCTGCTGCTGTTGATGCTGCTGCAGGGAGGTCCCCTTGCTGCCTCTTTCCTTTGCAATTCGTTGCTGCGGAGGCGTCGTGGCTTGGCAGTCTGAAGGATCTCCTTTTGAAATAAATGACTCGCGAATTACACATCAAGTTGTAGACAGACCCTTAGAAAGTCAGACACACTTGGCGCTGCTGCTGCTGCTGCTGCTGCTGCTTCCTGTTTGTGGTTGCTGTCGGTGCTGCTGACTCTTGTTCCATGATGCTGCCTCTGCTGCTGAAAGGTGTTCCATGCTGCTGCAGGCAATGGTTTCGTGCTGCTGACGGGAGTTTGCTGGTTCTGCTGCTGACAGGCGTTTGCTGCTGCTGCTGCTGCTGTTGCTGCTGCTTTGCAGGTCTGCAGCAGGCGTGTGGCGGAGGGGATTTGCCTTCACGGGAGTACATACAGCCCCAGTGGGTATTCGACTGCATTAACACGGCGATGCTGCTTCCTACAGAGGATTATGGCCCCGGCAAGGCCCTGCCTCCTCACCTCTCCCCCTTCGTGGTAAGCAGGAACACCAGCAATAGCAGCAGCAGCAGCAGTTGCAGTTGCAGTTGTTGGAGCAGCAAGAGCACTAGGCATGGGCTGCGTTAGAGAATAGGAAGCTGCACCAGTAGCAGCACCAGCAGAAGCAACGCCACATCCGCAAGGGCGAACCCCCCCTTCTATTTAGCTCCTTCAGCGTAACACTGTTTTACGCGCCCTGTTGCTGCCGCTGCTGCTGCTGTTGCTGCTGTTATTGCTTAGGACGACGAGGCAGAGGGTTATGTGCCACATCGCCGCGAAGTTTTGATGAAAATGCAAAAAGAGCAAAAGCCGGCGGCAGCAGAACAACAAGAAGAAGAATCCGACGGAGATGGTAAGGCAGCACCAGCATCAAGAGCAACCACAGCAACAACAGCAGCAGCAGCACCAGCAACAAGAGCAACCACAGCAACGACAGCAGCAGCATCACCATCAGCAGCAACAGCAGCATTGGATTCCTACGTTACTTGCTGCAGGTCCGGCGGAAGACCCCGAGGTCGCGTGGCGTCAGAACAGAGGAGCAGATATTGAGGGAGAGGCAAAGGCAAGACATCGCCTGCCGCTGCTGCAGCCTTTGCTGCGTTGCCTGTCTGCTTCCCGTCCTTATTCTTGGGGTGTTTGCACACTGTGGTGTTTCCTCAGGGGAGCAGCAGCACTACCTCGAGCAGCAGCAGCAGCAGCAGCAGCAGCAGTGCTCCGTCGGCGCCTTCTGGCAAATCGTGAGTCGTTTTGTCCGTTGTCATAGTGCATTGGAGCGGAGCATTCCCTTGCCACAGATGCAGCCGCCGCAGTAGCACCAGCAGCACGAGCAGCAGTAGTACCAGCAGCCGTAGCAGCAGCCGTAGCGAGCACGAACAGCAGCATGTTTTTGTTTGCATGCAGACGGAAGGAGGAGGAGGCGGAGCAGCGCCTGGTCCATCAGAAGGCAATCATGAACAAAAAACACAAGAGGCTTTACGAGCGCATTGAGGTACTTGAATCTGTAACAGCAGCAGCAGCAACAGCAGCGGCGACAACAGCAGCAGTTGCAAAGATAAAAGAACGAAACCCTGCTAGAATCCCCTCATGGAGTGCCTATCATTTATTCCATCCGTTTTTTGCTTCTGTTGCTCCTGTTTATACCATTGGGATTGCTGCTGCTATTGCTGCTGCTGCTGCGAATGTTGCTACTGGTGGGATTGCTGCTGTAGCACATGCCTGAACCTGACGGTTTTGCTGCAAATGTGTATTGTGTTACCTTTCAGTTCGGACGTAAACGCAAAGAGCAGCGAGCAGAGACACTCAAGGCCAAGAGGTTGGCCCTGCAGAAAAAGACGGAAGAGTAAGCAGAGCGTGCTGCTGCTGTCGCTGTTGCACCAGCAGCAGCTGCTGCTACTTTTTCTTTGATTACCGCAGAGGGTTGGGCGGAGATGGTTGCTGCGGCAACACGTGTTGCTGCTACTGCGGAAGCAGCAATGGAAGGCAGCTGTAGCCGCGCATATGTCTGATTCAGCTGCAGCAGCAGCAGCAGCATAGAAGCCTGTTGCACCACCAGCACCAGGACGGCGGGTATTTCGTTCACCGCTGACTTGGTGCAGAATTCTGTAACCAGGCAGAGGCAGAAGACCTCTGTTGGCGTTTGCAAAGGTCTGGAGGCACTTTGCTTCATCTACAGACTTTTATTGCATAAAGACAGAAAACGCATAATAAAGACATTATCTTGAGTGTTTATGGTTTGTAAGACAGAGGGCTTAGGGTTTAGCTGGCAGTTTAGGGTATATACAAAGCTGGAGGCACACGGTTTCTAAGGCTTATTAACAACCATAAACCCTCCCCCTAAAGCCGTAGACTATAAGGGTGAGGGATTAGGGTTTATTCATCTGACGTGGTTTCGGGTTTTAGGGACGGATTCGCGTGTTAGCTAGGCGTAGACCCTTTTGAATGCATGAGCTGCTAATGCGTACACACAGAGCTAGAGTAAGACGTTTATTTTGGTTCTGAAGGGACGCTGTAGCCTTCAAGATGGCAGTTATATTGATAAAAGGGGTTAGTGTTCAACGGCGACAGGCTGTAGGGTGTGTAGTTAAGGCGGCTTGTCACATCATCTCCCCGCTAGTTTCCTTCCGGTCTAAGTATCAAGCCCCAAGTTTTTCTTTAGGTTGCTGAAGGGTCCCCTCCGCACCTCCCCTTTTGCTTTTGCATCTGTAAAACAAAGGCAGTTGGTGACCTCGGGTTCACCCTGTTAGCAGAATCGCTGCTGCAGAGAGATGTATCGCTGCTACGGAGGGATGGATCGGTGGGTCAAACACTGTACGCCCCTCTTAATGACAAACCTAAAAGTATGTAGTCTTAAAAATCTAGAAAGGTGAGCTTTAAACAGAGTTCTGGGGCCGTTTAGTACTGTACTCCGTGGGAACGACTGGGCCCCACAGGGTCACTCCGGGGTGCTCAGTTGCCGGAAAACGAACCGCAAAAGACTTGGCACTTGCACGAGAAACTTCAGAAAAAAAACTTTGTGAAATATATGAAATAGGAAAATAAACCGATTTCGACTCAAAAGGAATCACTGCTGTACTAAATCTCTCTCCGGCCCTTCTGGGCTGTAGTCTAAGACAATCGGTGCTGGGTCTTGGGCTCTTCTACGTGTCCTGGTCCATTCCTATTGACTTTTTTGTTTTTCAGTTTCTTTGTCTTTCAATGATGTTACTTAACTCATTCTTGTCATTTTAGCCTCCTAAGGAGCATACAGGGGGGCCCTTTACCTACCCTTCCCTATCGCAGTACATGGTTAGCAAGGGGCCCGGCCCCCGAGGTCTGCAGATTACTAGTTAATGGCACCTCAGGGGACTCCCGTCTTCTCTGTTATATCTCCCCCTCTCTTTTGAAGGGAAGTTTTCAACCCACTTTTGTCCGTGCCCTGTGTGGGCTTGTGCTGCGTTCCACCGATGAGCTGCAGCGAAGAGGCCCGTTGGGGCCATACCGCTCAGTCTGCTGCCTTTGTTGATCCTTGCTACAACAACCGCAGCAACGAGCTGTTTTCCTACAACACCCCCATTCATTCTGCCCCCTGTGGGGTAGCAACGGCTGTATATAAGGAGGGGCCAGTAACCCCTTCCCTAAATCTTTCTGGGGCTCATTCGTCGGGCCCCCCTTGGGTTGTCTCTTGGGGCCCATCGTGGCAGCCAGTAAACAGGAGCCCAGAAGGGTTCCCATGGGGGTCATCATGGGGCCCCCCATCCCCGAATAGCCTAGCGAACCAGTTAGGGTTTAAGGATCAGAAACGCTCCAAAAAAAAATCGAGGACGAGGTCCCCATGGCCTCCTGATAGGCAACTCTCTGATTTACCTGCAGATATGAAAGAAGGGCCCAGGGATCGTTTGAGACAGCATCGTGTGCAGACAGTCGATGAGCTACTGCAGCCCTGCTGGCCGCCGTCGCCGCAGCAGCAGCAATCGGCATCATGTGCGGACTGCTGTCACAACAAATGTTCAGGCCTGCAACATGCCTGTATGCAGTCTGGCAGCTCAGCCTACGCTGCCGCTGCTGCTGCTGCAGCTGCTGCAGCTGCTGCTACCCACTGTATTCCCAAGAGGGAGAACCCCATGACCGAAGATCAGTATCACATTCTGTTGCAGCACCTCAGGCATTTGTCGGGCCACTCTGGGCCGTGTCTCTTCCAGCAAGAAAAAAAGCAGGAGCAGCAGAAACTGGACTGGCAGCAGCAAAAGCAAGTCGCAGCACTGCTGCAGCAACAGCCCATAAGCCTACTCACGGAGGAACAGTTGAAAGAGGCAGCGCAACTCTATTTACAGCAACGGATGGGCCTACAGCAACAAGGGACGCACCAAGAAACCCTGCAGCCTGTGTATCAGCAGCAGCTCCTGTGGCAGCAGCCACAGCAGCAGCAGCTGTTGGTGCAGCAGCCCCCATATGGTGGAGTAGCAACAGGAGGCATCGATAGTAGTGCCCTGCCTCAAATTCAACCGCAGCTGCACCAGCAACAACTACAACAGCAGCAATTGCAGCATCAACAGTTACAGCAGCAACACCAACTGCACCAGCAACAACTACAGCACCAGCAGTTGCAGCATCAAAGACTGCAGCAGCAACAACTGCAGCAACAGCAACTGCAGCAGCAAGTGCAGCAGCAGCAGCTGCTCCAGCAGCAACAGCTACTTCAACAGCAACAGCTGTTGCAACAACAACAGCAACAGCAACAGCAGCTGGAGCAGCAACAGCAACAGCAGCTGGAGCAGCAACAGCATCAACAGCAACCCCTCTCATGGCCTCAGCTCCAGCCTCAGCAGCAGCAGCAACAACAGCAGCAGAGACCCCCTACGTCTAGTGTGCAGCAGCAGCACAGCAGCGGGTCTCTGGGGGGGGGCGGCCAGTGGGTCCCCCGCCGTAGCGAGAGTCTGCTGCAGGAGCTGCAGGGTGCCTCTTCTGAGTCCGCGCTTACTAGCCGAAACAGGTTTGACCCTGTTGCTGAGCAGCAAGGGCAGGTGAAAGTCGGGAGGCACCCAAAGAGCAGCGACAGGTCTGCGCACGACAGAGTTAAACACCCGAGAGCGCCGCCACAGGGGGGAAGAAGAGATCAGTACAGCTCTTTCGGCGAGGCCGTTGCATCTACTGCCCCTCCTGCCGCTGTTTCCCCTCCCTCAAAAAACGGACAGGAAGCTCAGGTTCGCAAACGAAGCACTTGGGGCCTCTCCCGTAGAAGGAAGAAGACTGAGAATGACTAAGAACCGCCCAGTTGTTGCTATTTGTGCTGCTGATAATGTTTGCGTTGCTACTATTGGGGTAATAAACTAGCGCCGTAACCGCTGAGAAATTTTTCTTTGAGGCATTTGTTGGCGTCGGAAGTTTCTAGAGCGTCTACCATATGACTCAAACGGTGTAAACGTCTGAGGATTAATGCTTTGCTCGACGTCTTGCTGTATATTACACATAGGTTTTCCTCTCTATACATACCGGAAAGACACCTCCCCAGGATCCCTACTATGGTGACTAGGGCATCGTTACTGAATGACCACAAGAGCCAAGGGCCCCGACATTTGTCGGCTATCGAGCCCTTGTGCCACGAACTGCACAAAGCTGGAGGCTTATCCCAACCAATGGAGTTGGCTGAGATATGTGGCCGCTCTCAGCTCTGCAACTCCTGCCGGCAGGAAAGGCTCACAACCAGCAGTTGTATAAGCAATTCTTGCTGCTTCTTATGGGCGTTAGATTGCCGGGTGTGGGGTGGTCCAACCTGCGCATTATGCCTTCAATCCACTAGCTCGTGCATGATTTCTGGATGGGTAGCACTAGCAGCTTGTACTACGTATTTTCTGCCCTGTCCGTGTTGTTATTGAAGTTATTTTGCATCACTGAACTGATTTTCCATACACTTTGTTTGATGGAAGCTCGAGGGTTTCAAGCGCGTCAAGCGATGTAATACTGCTCTCGTAGCACGCTTGTCACAGAGGGCATCTACGCTGCTTTTGCTGAGGTTTCGTTCTAACAGCACATGCAGAAACCCCCGATGACACCCCTTTGGATCAATGGGGAGGCCCCTCGTGGAGTCCTGGGGGATGACATCTGCTGAGTGGCGCTTGGCACAGCGGTCGAGGCTACGCTTTTGCTACGGTGTTGAGAGGCCGCTCAGTTGGGTGATGAACAGTGGCATGGATGCCCCCTTGGTCGCTTCGCTGCGTTGCAGCTTAGTCCACCAGTTTCCAGGGCAGCGGTCATCAGGGTAGATACAGTTCTTTAGGCTGCGCTCGTGCAGGGCCCAGGGGTCCTTCAGGCGTTGTCGCCCGAAATGGGGTGCCGACAAAGGGCAGTCCCTTTGCATATCCGAAATACCAGTGCTGTGCATGTTTCTCAGCTGATGCTGAGGTGCTAATATGTTGCTCCAGCTGGAACTGATGAACGCTGCTGAGGGGGCTCAAAATCGAGCCCCTGCGGGACCCTCTTACGCATTTGTGTATGTTTCAACAGAAACGCCGGGGACGTTTCACAGCGGATGGGTGGGTTGCATTTTCCAGAAGATGGGATATGAGCATAGGGATCACGGTAGCGACCCACCAACATCTTTTGCAACAAACGCGTTCCCACTGCCTTACAACGCAGGCGCGTGAAAAGGGGATAAAGCAAAACCCACGCAGGCGATTCAGAGATGTGGGCAGAGCCTACAAGATAGCAAATAGAGCGACCAGGAAAACGTACTGGCCTCAACACAACATGCGGCTGAGTGATGTGTCCGATTAAGGTGAAAGCTGCATGCATTGTTCCTATTCTTCTCAAAAGTCTGTTTCGCCGGCATCACATTCACTGTCTTTTGTTGCTATCACTACGGAGCGCAGGCTGCGAAGCGGGTGCTATATTCTGTATATGTGGACAGATGACGAGAAGATGCAACCTGCCTGCTTATATGTTGGAGCTGTTGCTTCGACCACGTTTCCCTGGTGGCAGAGAGAGTACGTGATCTGGTGAAGCTACACGCAAAAAATAAGAGCTCAGTTCATCAGTAGGCATTATTGCCATGACACAGGATTGTTTTCGGAGTAATAGTCCCATATACCATCGGTACATGGAGGGCACTTCCTACATAAACACCGGACTGTGGATGACCATAATGCAGGCAGGCAATTAAGGACTGCCCCTCAATGCACTGCCAAAACAATGTGCACCCCCACCAGTAACGCAGAGGTGCTGCAGCTAGGAGAGAAAGGCATGCACCTTCTTGGTAGCCACATGAAGACAGCTAGTTTGACGGATTCAAATTACGGAGTACCCGAGGAATAGGACGTGCATGCATAAATGAAAGAAGTTTCATATTGTAACGTGAGTTCTCGATCTTGTCCAGAGACTGTCGCGAGTTGCAACGAAGTAGATACACCAATGACACGAGTTCTTTAAAACCGATGACCTCCCTCACCAGCCCCCACGTTTCCTATGTAGAGCACAGTCATCTGGAAGTGCTTAAAAGGAAGAAACAAGAGATGAGTTGCTGCAACTCAAGGTGCAAGATAGCCCAGCATGCACGCACTGGGAGGCACTGTGTGCTGAAGGCGCTAACACATCTGCATGCGCGCATGCTGCTCACTACAGCCGAGTAAAGGCTCATGTGCCAAGCGCAGATGCAGACAAGCTTCGCTGCATCTAAATTCCAGGTGCAGGCTGGACACTCGTGGACACTCTCGTGGGCATGTGCCGCTGCTGAATATGGTTTTACTGCATTGTGAGCGATTTTTCGTCCTGTCGTTCGTCTGAAACGTCATTTAGAGGCTTATGCCTTGCCGTGTACTTATTGTTCACGCAGCACTGCCTTCTCCGTCTAGTGAAGGCGTTGTTTGCCGACTATGCTGGAAATACGTCCTGCAGTGCCTGCGGGAGATTCAGGGGCTTGCCCGTGTTGACAACTCCACTAATATAAGAGACGTACTTGGGCGGCATGTTAATGGGCGCATCCACCGCCAACGGTTGCCTTGGGTACCGCCGCTAAGCTTGCTCTTAGGCTGTCTGACGCATTGCTGCATGAAGGTTTCCGGAATAAACCGCTTCTGGGTATGAAAACCCATCGAACCGCCGCGCCCTCTGCAGACCTCTTCTGCTTCATATGCTTGCCGTTTTTGTTTCGTTCATTTTTTACGCGTTAAAGCTGAATGGAGCACAAGGAGTTGTGTGCTTGCGTGTTTTTGAGATTACCTCACGGAGAGGCAGCACTCGTTAACTCCCAAGAGTTGCCAGATAAGAGGTGAGATAGCATAGTCTGCACGATGTTGGCAAATCCGTCTGAACAGGGAGCATGGACCCTTAGTTGCCAAACGGTACACAAGCAGAAGCTTCCAACAATTGTCTACGTTGTCATGCAAACAGCCACAAAAGCCTCTTTGCGACTGCATGTGAAACAGTCTTCCACCCTGAATTAAAGCAGGGGTGTTGCAACCCAAAGCAGACCACCTGCACTGCCGAAGATTCAGGCTTTCGGGCCGCTGGGCTTAGGATGTCTTGAGACTAGAGAGGGAGGTCATATGATTCTAATGAACTGTTATTTCAAGCATGTTGACACCGCAACGCGTCGCTATACACCTCGGATATGCTCGATGACCATCTCTACACAATGACCCTCCCGAGCTGCAGTTGAGTCAAAAAGCTTAAAAAATGACTTTCTAAAAGGAAGCTGTACTCCGTTCCCAGTTTTCGGCCATCCTGGGCAGAGCGGCTCATGCGCGGGAGTATACGCCAGAGGAGTCGGCATGAGATGAGCTACCGAGCGATGCAGCAAATGGTGCAGGAGAGACCCAAATACAAAAACCAGAAACCGCATCTAACACTGCATACAGTTGTTGAAGACTTCTGATTGAGTGCCTGCTGCCTACTACGGTCGAGTAAGTATTAATGCTCCAAAGTTTGCACCGGGGGACAGAGACTGCGCTGGAGTCCCTCACGCAAGAACCAAGCCATTTGAGGTACGCTAACACTGCACACAACAGTCAATTACTTCAATTTGGGTGGCATCTGCCTGCCATGGAACAGTAAGGGTTCATGTTCTAGCCAGCTGCAGTGCTGCCAACGCCGTGGAGACTGTGTGTGCTACACGGTTCACAACGAGGGGAACGATTGCAGTCGAACACACTAGCAGAGGGTGGTTTGAGGGATAATTCCCACTTAAAATAAGTCTTGACTGTGAATAAAAACTGCGGTATGATGAATAACACAACGTGTGCAACTTCTGAATTCTATTTCTAGGCATATGTGGGCCATAGCCACTGAACTGTTGTCTTTTGGAAACTCCACACAATACGAAAAAATCGCCTTCCACTCAACGTCATGTGTTATCAAAATTAAACTACTATTCTGCCGCGAATCAATGAATTCAGGCGGATGAGCCCCCTGAATACTCCAGCCCGGTCATTCGGTGCGGCTTCAATGCTCATTGGTGAGGGGAGCGCTCACATGAGGCCCCTCCGTCGCGCTTGCGTCTTTGTTGCTCATGTCGGAATTTTAAGTTGTAATAATACATTTATGTTTACTTTCTTGTTTTAGGAGCAAGAATTTGACATCTTTTCAGCCTTAAATATGATCCACTTTACCTTATCTCTCGCCTGCAATCTTGCGGTCGTAGCTACCGCAGGCCAAGCCTTGCAGGAGGCCAATGTTTTGTTTTTGAGCCCGGAGGCCATACCAGTGTATGATGAACTCTCCATTAGACCTGAGAAGGTTTCTGCACGTGGAGATAAAAGTCTTCAACGAAGAACCGTACTCGCGGCAGTCTCTCTAATGATTGCCACAGGTGTGCTAGCATTTCTGGTCTTGCAGTGCTACAAGGCCCTCAATGCAGACAAAGCGAGGGAAACCTACGGATCCAATCTGCGGAGGGTTGCAGAAGGAAACGAGAAATCTTGCGCTGTAAGTCTCCTGTAGTGTGCCAAATGCCCTACGTGCAAGTCCTGGGTGCTGTGTTAAGCCACCCGGGGAGCAACGCAGGCGAAATCTCGGTGAAGGTGAAACTTGCCTGCAGAATTCTTGCATATATCCTTTGTACACACAAAACGCCATGAGCAGTGTATGCGGATCCCCTTGCTTTTCTTCGTGGGGAAACAACCGAATGCATGGGAGTTTCTGGTCGTATTACTGAAATACGCGTGCAACCATTTCTGCGTTTCAGTTAGAGTGCACCCGTTTACGCAAAACGGTACTTGAATTCCAGACAGGGGTGTTCACGTGTCTATGCAGAGGAGTAGATGCACGAGTT